ATGACAAGCTCCGTGTCTGCTTTTGTCAAACATACCAATCAGTAGTCATATCTATGGACGCAAATTAAAAGCTAAATGGAGTTATCTCGTCAGGGTAATAAAATATAAATAGTTTGTTCTTGGCTAAAAGAAGAGAATAGTTCTTGTTATTATTTAAATTGCAAGCTGTCTAACACAAAAAGCTCAGTGAGTTTTCAAGAGTGCTGAAAAGTATTAACTTAATCACAGCCACAACAATTAACCAATATTTATCAAAATCGTCCCAGGCACTAATTAATCGAATTACCACCTAGCCAGAATATAATTATAAGTATTTCCTGATTAATTTCCATAATTTCCTTGCAAGTATGGCTTAAGCAAGGTAAGTATTTATTTCTGTAATACTTCAACAGCAGCCAAAGGCCATAAATGCTGTGAGCTTTGACAACAATAAGTACTTTGTTTCTTTGGCCAACAACAGCAATTTGTTTGCCAGCAATTATTTATAATTTAAAATTACTTTGTCAACGACGCAATATCTTTATTTTTATATTATTTAACATTCTTGAGTGTCAAGGCTTGCTTACAAATTTCATTTATGATTTAAAATAACTTTTCTGCCTTCTACCTAGCCGTTGCTGAACCTTTTTTAATTTATTTAAAATCTGGCAATGTATTTCCTTTTATCTTGCTTGGCATTCTTCAGTGTAATGCCCGGTTTAAGGTTTTCATTTATGATTTTTTGTAATTGAAAATAACGATTACTTTGCCTACGAAGCTGAAGTTGAATATTTCTTTAATTCATTAAATGTGTGTGGCCATGTCTTCTATTTACATTACTTTGCATTCCTAAGTGTAATGTCTCGTTCGAGAATTCCATTTGACATTGCAGCCGCACATCAGTCCGCATGTGCCATTTTTCTCGCACTAATCCCGTGTAAGTGATCCAGTTTTGAGCAATTTACATAATTTTATGCACTACTTCGTCACTAGGAGCTGCTCAGTATGTGGATATGACTAGACTTGACTCGTATGTTGTACTATACATAGTACATGCTATTTATGCTTGGTGCATGGTAAAAATTTATTAGCCTAATGCGCGCGAAGAAACCGAAACCGAAACTGAAACTTAAACTAAAACAAAGCCAAGCCGCGACTGCGGCAGACTCTGGAGAGTGCAAGGCGTACTATGAATGCCTTGGTTTTTGGCTTGGCTCGTCGCGGCGCGGCGCGGCTCGGCTCGGCTCTTAAACAAATTGTGCAAGTTTCCGAATTTATGTTGCTAAAAAATGCTTGCACATTTTAATTGGTAGACGCGCGTAGCGAGAATTGTGCCAACAATTTGTGCAAAATATGCGCCAGAAATTTATGGATAAAATATTGAATTTTTTCTATATAACTTGAAATATGCATGTGTATATGTATTTACACACACACATACATACTTGTATATGTAAGTGGTGTTAGTTTTGTTTTTAATACTTTCTATGTAGCAGCGCAGCGATTTTTCATAATTCTTGCGACGCGTTGCCGTTGGCATAAATCAAACAACAATGCGAAACCGTAAACTGAGAAACTATGAAACAGCAGAGGAAGGAAGCAGGAACAGTTTTTTTTTTACCATCAAGATGCTGTTGCTGTTGTTGTTATGTTGGCAGCGACCAGCACCAAAACAGTTTTGCAGCACAGCGAGTACAGGGAATACGACAATCCTCCATGAAAACAAATGATTAAAATGATTATAAAAAACTAATGGATTGGTTTGCACAGAAAATAATTTCAATAATAACAAAAATATGGAGACGGATATCTAAAAGAAAAACAGCTACAAATAATTAATATCAAAATAATTGAAATGAAAAAGGGAAACCCACAAATAGAAACAAGAAAGGAATACTCTACAACTCTTAAAGAACTTGTATCCTGTAAAGTAATTTAATAAAAAGAAAATCCAAGAATTACGGAAGTTATTAGGAAAAAAAACATAAACCTGTTCTTTCTGGGACTATCTCGGGGAAGCTGGATGCCAAGTTTGGTTTTTCTATCTCTTATAGTTTCTGAGATCCTGGTCGTGCTAATCAAGATTATAAACACTATGGGGGGTATGCCACGCCTCTGTCTGTGTGGCACATACATTCGCACTAAACTAGTATACTCTTCTTTGGATTAAGGGTATAAAAACATGTATGATGAATTCACTTGAGAGTGAAAACATTACACAAAAAAGAACAATCATCCAACTAAAGCTAATTGGAGTGATGTTTCGAGCTACGAGCTTGTGGAAGGTAATGCTTATTAATACTTATTTGATTTCAATTTTGAGCTTGCTGTTTGTTAATGTATGTATGCTCTTATTGTTATGTTTTCTAATATTTAGACCGAGACGGAAATGTTTCCGCCAATTAAAATTAAATTTAAATATTGTATACATTTATTTTGCGCTTCTAAAGACAATGTACTGTGTCCCTTCCGATTGGAATGGCTTACTGATTGGATGAGTACCACAAAGGGAGTAGCGCTACTATAAAGATTGAACACAAAGAAAGCAGTGATACAAGTATTGCAATGAAATGTTATTATTGCAAAGTGCTAGAAATGTGAAAATGGCACTTTGGACTCTTGGATGTACTTAGGAGTCCCCATCTTCGTCAATATGGCAATGTGAAAAGGATTTGTATGCACTGTGCCAAAAGGGTGTGGCAGCTGACGCAAAGCCTATGTAGATTAATATCCATCTGTTTATCTTTTGTAGAAATTGAAAAATCGAATCTTTTTCGGACATTGGAATGAGATAGGCATGAAGGCTGACATTGAAAATGTGCCACCAAACCCCCCTGGGTTATAATTATAGGGCAACCAACTTTACAGGATTTGCTGTAAACAAGGAAGGAAATGAGAATGGCAAGCGGCGACGTTGGCGGTGGCGTCTGGCAGCTAAAATGCAGCAACAACAATAGCAACAGCAACAGCAACAACAACAGCAACGAAGAGGGCAACAACTTCAGCAACAGCTACAGCAACAGCCATTATGCTCTTGTTCTGTTTGTTGTTCTTGCTTTTTATGACCGTTACGCTTCGGCATTCATAATTACAGAGAAGGATGGAGAGAGAGCGAGTCCGGGGAGGGGGGAGGGGGGAGAGAGCGCAGCTGCCATTTTAATTTGTTTTAATTAATATGCGCTTGTTTGGCAGCTAAAGTTGTTGTTGCTGTCGCTGCCAGCACTGTGGGACAGCAACAAAAAACTAGTTTAGAACTTTACGCGTCGGTCAGTCGGTCAACCGCAGTTCGCTTTCATTAGGACAAAAGGATGTTGCCGCATCAAAGTGCGACCAAAACTGTCATTGCCAACTAACAACGGCCGCTGCTTCTTCATTTGCCTCACTTTTGACTGAGGCTCGGGCTCTGAGCAAGGGACAGAGGCAGGCGCAGGCGGTGGCTGGGGCTGAGACGGAGGCTGAGACTGAAGCGGAGGTGACTGCGGCTGACGCTTTGGGGTCGTTGTTCATTTGTTGTTTCCTTTGCTAGCACTCGGTGCTGTTGTTTTTGTTGTTGCCGCAACTGCTACTGTTAGCTACTCTACACTGTAACGGCAAAATTGTTGTGCTCTCTCTTTTGAAATATGCGCGCGCTCGCCTCGTGGAATGCCATTGGAATGTTTGATGTACAGTGTTAGAAAATATTGCAAGAATGTGTGTGGACTGTTTTATTGCTATACAATAAATTGAATTTCAAACTTACTTCATTTTTAAGCACTACATTATTAATTATTAATTTCTGTGACTATTTTATTCTTGAATTCCTTTCTTTTTCAAATACACTTAGTTTAACTATTAGCTTTCTAAAACCATAGACTTATAAAGTATATTTATATTCACACACTTGATTACTTGATTACAACTAGTAGGTCACAATATTTACTATACTACTTTTTTAATGGGGGATATGTATTTGTTCAATTTTGTATTTTAATTTGACATTAGTGTCTGCAGCTTGTGAGTTATCTAAAGATGATATAGCTCAGTTGTATGTGGACTTATAATTATGTAGGGTACACAATTGTTGCTTTACTCACTTGTTGTCCGATAACGAAAAATTGGATTAGATGTTGAAACTGCACACAAATGTCAGGTAATTTTCACTACACTTTGTCACACGGTGCGTGCCGTTATGAATTAAAAACGCAGCGTTGCCAGCTGTTGGCAAATTTATGTGCCTGTTGGGCGGCGTGACAGCGAAAGGACAGCGTAAGGACAACGTGTGCAAATGAGTTTTGTTTATGCGCGCAACTCGCGCCAGCCACTTGATTTATATTAAAATATTGTTAAACATTGTTTTGGCGAAAGCAGGCACTGGCCGCTGCAGCATGTCTATGTATTTACACTGTTGTTTATTATCCTGTTATTGTTGTTGTTGTCATTGTTGCTATATCCACTGACTTTGCCGCTTGCACGTGGCAGAGGCAGCCATGGCGATAATAATGGAGTCGGCTTTATTTATGTGATTGTTAAAATGTTTGTTTATTTTTTAAATTAAATTTGTTGTCTCACTTGAACGCACTTCTGCACTTTTTTCACTTTTGATTACAAAAAAACAACAAAAAATCATCATACATATACGAAAAAAATTGGTCGCAACAAATTAGCCGTTGCTAACAAAATTCTAATTAGACTTTGTGACGCGGCACTTCTGTTGTCGTCTTCGTCGTCGTAACTGCTGTCTCGATCTCGAGATATTTGGAAAGGATGCGCAGCACAACGTTCACTCGCCTTGAATGCGGTTGGCCAACTAACTGATGATTGCGGTAGAGCAAAAAGGATGCGGCTGCTGTTGGAGAACCGTCGCCATCCAGTGGAGAGAAAGCTCCCGTGTAGACTGGCAGGCTTGTAGAGTAAACTGCTTCACCCAGTCTGGCAGCACTTGCACGCATTGCACAGCACTGGTCATGGAAGGCGACACAGCTGGGCTGGCCGATAAGACGCTTATCGTTTTGTAATCGACTCGTTTTCGACTGACAGCTCTTACAACTCGACAAAACTACGTGGCTGTGGGCTTTTCATTTAATTGTTGCGGCAAATAAAAACAAACGCTTATCGCGAATATGCAAAAGACTTTAGGCAAATTTCTGTTAACCGTAGTCGGTCTAGTGCTCCTCACAAGCGCCACTCAAGCCTTCATCGTCAGCGTGGATGCACACAACGAGGAGTGCTTCTTTGAAAATGTCGAAGGCGGCAGCAAGTTCGGTAAGTAAACGTATTCCATGGTCATAGTGATGGTGCGGAAGGTGAAGAAGAAGAAGCTGTTAACTGGTCTGATTTGTATGTTGCAGGTGTTACCTATGAAGTAATTGAGGGCGGCTTCCTGGATGTGGATATTCGAATTACAGGACCAGAAAACCACGAGATGCACAAAAGCGAGAAGGAATCTTCTGGCAAATACGCTTTCGTGGCACCCACCAAGGGCGTCTATACCGTCTGCTTTAATAACGAGCGCAGCAGCATGACTCCCAAGCTGGTCATGTTCTCAATTGATGTGGGGGACGCGCCTCAGCGTGCTCCCGGCGCTCCTGGCGAGGAGGAAGTAGGACACACCAAACTTGAGGACATGATACGTGAGCTTTCAGGCACACTGACCAGTGTCAAGCACGAACAGGAATATATGCATGTTAGTATTCGTTTGAGACTCGCATTTGAGGCATTGTTAAGAGCCCAAAAATGTTTCTCTGCTCCTTTTAGGTGCGCGACAAGATCCATCGCTCTGTGAATGAAAGCACCAACTCACGTGTCGTCTTGTGGTCCACATTTGAGGCGCTCGTACTCGTACTGATGACTGTGGGTCAGGTTTATTATCTGAAGCGTTTCTTCGAAGTCAAGCGCGTTGTGTAACTTGTGTAACAGACACGTCCTCCATGTGCGTCTCTCAGCCTAATTTAAACGAGTAATTAAATTCTTTTTTTGTAATTAGTAACTTTAATTCAAATGTGCAGTTTTTCTTTTTGTTGTTCGTCAAAAGCGGGAAACTTGTAACTCGTTTGTTGTGTTTGTTTCCTTCTGTCTGTGTGTGTGAGTGTGTGTGTGTGTGTACATTTTGCACATTCATGAATTATATACACCATTATATGTGTGTGTATATATAGTATATAGTTGACTGCAGCTGTGGCAGGCGTTAGATAAGAATTGGGCAAGTTGTTGAACTCTTGAAATCGTAAACAGTAGAAATTTCCTTGCTTTGCAGACAAATTTCTTTAATTTAAAATGCAAAAGCCGGGGATACCAGATTGAGCGCTGGTTCGTGTCTGTGCTAAATCAAAACCGATGAATTGACGACCGCACAGTGCCCCTCAAACTTCAGCTGGTGCGTGTTCTTTGGTGCATCCAAAGCCTTGCAACAGCTGTTTTGTTCGCCACAGTGGCAGCGCTGTACCAAGATTTCTGGCCATACTGCTTGCACTTTATTGTTTAGGCTAATTATCGATAGTATTGCAGTTGTTCTAGCAGCCACAAACAAGCGAAGGTTAAAGCAGCTGGTAATGCATAGATTACTACGCAGCGTGGCAATTTCCTGCCATGCTGCTGCCGTCCAGCGCACGGATCATGGAGTACGCCGACTGAGCATCACGGGCTCCGATGTAGATCCTGCCGATGAGCAGGTACTGCGAAAACGTAAATTTAAGCCGCACCAGCAATCAGCTGAGCTCAGCGAGAAACTGGCCGGTCAGATGCCCAGCCAGGCACGCGTCGTCATCTGCGGAGGCGGCATTACTGGCGCCTCGGTGGCGTATCATCTGGGTTTGAAGGGCTGGGGCGGTGAGACGTTGCTGGTTGAACAGGATCGAGTGGGAGGCGAGCTGCCATGGAGTGCGTGTGGATTGGCCGGCCGATTTGAGCGCAGTTACACAGAATTGAAGCTGGCCGAGTATTCGACTGATCTGATCAAGTCGCTGACAGAGCAGGGGCTTCCCACGGGCTGGCGGCAAGTCGGGAGCCTGAATCTTGGGCGCAACTTCGACCGCATGACCTCATTCAATCGCATGAAATCGCAGGCAATTGCCTGGGGCATGAACTGTGAGGTGCTGACGCCTGAGCAGTGTCTGGAGCGTTGTCCGCTCATCTCGTTAGATGGCGTCGAAGGCGGCCTGTGGATACCCGAGGATGGAGTCTGTGACCCTCATCTCGTCTGTCACGCCTATTTGGAGGAAGCCAAGCGCATGGGTGTGCGTGTGATAGAGTTCTGCGCTATCAAAAAGATTCACAGCGCACATGGAAAAGTGGAGCGTGTGGAGACGACCGCTGGCGACGTGGCCTGTGAGTATTTTGTCAATTGCAGCGGTTTCTGGGCCCGCGAAGTGGGCACGTTGTCCAAGCCGGTTGTGAAGGTGCCCCTGAAGGCCGTGGAGCATCATTATCTGCACACAAAACCCATCGACCAATTGGATCCCAATACGCCTTTCGTGCGCGACTTCGACGGACGCATTTTTTTCCGCGAGTGCGAGGGCCACATCCTAGCCGGTGGCTTTGAACGCGAGGCCAAGATGGTGTACGAGGACGGCATCATACCATTGTCACAGCAGGCGCGCCAGCATCCGCCCGACTGGGACCACTTCCACGAACTGCTCGATTCTCTGCTGCATCGAGTACCCTCTTTCCGGGAGGCGAAGCTAGATCGGCTGACCAACTCGCTGCAGGTCTTCTCGCCTGACTGCAAATGGATCTTGGGCGAGTCGCCTGAGATACAAAACTATTATGTGGCAGCTGGGAACAAGACAATGGGCGTCTCAGCTTCGGGCGGCATTGGTCTGGTATTGACGGATCTAATTACCAAGGGCTTCACCTACTTGGATCTGCACATTTTGGACATCACTCGGTTCTTAGGTCTGCACAATAATCGTAAATTTTTGCGGGATCGCTGCAAAGAGGCACCCGGTAAACATTTCGAGGTCAACTATCCGTTCGAAGAGTTTCAAACGGGCCGCAATCTTCGCATGTCGCCCATTTATCCACAACTAAAGGAGGCAGGAGCCGTCTTTGGACAGTCCATGGGCTATGAGCGACCCAACTACTTCGATCAGAATGATAAACAGGGTGAGTAATATACAACAGGCGTACCTTTTTCCTTTTTGTATACCCTTATCAGAACGAAAATATTAGACTCGAAAATTTGCAAAGTAGCTATGGTAGATATTTGGCATTTATTAGTTTGATGGGCAAATATCAAATTGTATGGCTATCATCTTAAGACAGTTGAGATAAAGAAATCCACGACGTACTCATTGCCTGCATCATATTAAATTGTGAAAAATATAAAAGAGAAGAGCTGACCCGTCCCTTTCCACCCCATGATTTTGAAAAGTCCCTGATGAAATGTAATATTTTAAAAAATAACATATTTGTCAGCTCCTTTAATTATTTATTGTTTAAATTACTCATTTTTTTACGATTTTGATATAACACGGTTGGAAAATTACAAATTGCATATATATTTCTTTAGAGATAAGAAACCAAACAATGTCTTTTTTTACACGGTTGTTTCTGGAACCCATCTACCGCGTAAAAACAGAATTAGGTGTACCTCTGTAGCGGTGTATCTACGAAAACTCCGTTTCAGGCGCTATTCTAACTATAAACGGCCTTGTTAGGCACACCCCTACCCTTTGGTGTAGTATTTCTGATTGTTTGTCAGGCATAGCGGATCATTTATTATAAATATGTATGTACAAGTATGTATGTAAGTATTCCACCTGTAAATGAATTAATAGAAGTACTCGTGCATATACAACTTTCCTTGGAAAGAGCTAAACAAAACAAATGAAATAAAACAAAACCAACCAGGGGTGTATAGAGTTCGGTGCGAGTATGAAGGCACTCCCTTCTGCTTAAGTGCAATATTGAATAACAATAAACAACTCCTCGCATTGGATGTCAGTGATCTTTGCATTACGATTAATCCGAAAGAGCTCCAATTTTGACGAAAACATTTTGCAATCAAACCGAACGACTAGCCACCAAGAAATTAAATATAAAGTGTTTGAGAAGTCGTGCGGACACGGGTCTTATTTAGGACGATAGTCAGAAATTAGTTCATTCATTCAGAATATACAGCAATGGTTAAACGCACCTTGGCTATGGAGTCGCTGAATGAGTATCCATCCAAATGTCCTCGCTACGATTCGACCGATCAGCCCGGTTGCAGTCTCTTGATAAAACAGGAGGAGGCCGACGACTCTGCAGCGAAATATCAATGCGTTCCGGGTTCGGCGACATCAGATTATGCCGCAACGGGGCCCAAATATTCACAAAGCCCGTGTAGCCACAAGGTTCTCTTCACCTTCGAGGAGGTGCAACTGATTTGTGAAGGCCTGCTGAAGAAGCACGAGGAGCAGCTGCACGAATGTTACAATTCCTTGATATCCAACAAGCTGGACGAACAGCACGATGCCTTCGTCAAATTCACGTACGCCCAGATAAAGCGCAACTACGAGGCAGAGCCGAGTTATTGGTCGTAGGAGAATCACAATAACCACAAAAAAAGATAATACTAATCAATGCGTTGAGTTAATTATAGTTTTTTGAAAATCCTTTAGAAAGTCCTTTATGTATGTATTTGCTTATATAGCATGTAGGAAATACTTGTAGTTCTCTGTTCCACTTTATTTTTGTTTCATTAATAAAAGTTTAAAACAAATTCGCATTCCTTGGTTAGAGAAGGAATAAAGGGTGCTTAAGAAGGCAATGCATAATCACCCGACTTCTAATACTAACTTCATTCGCTTAGACTATTAGCAGCTATTGCTTGTTCATACTTGGTTCAATCGCAGTTGGGTGTCTCTCCAAATGTCTATCCTAGAAATGATATATCTAGCACTGTATGTCGAAACAACTTTCTATTTCTTTAAAGGTCACATTCTAATGTGTTCCTTATCGCATTTTCATTTTCGCAGATGAATTTGGCTTGCCACGTTTCCGCATTGCTCGTACGAAGACGTTTGGAAAGCCACCCTGGTTCGATCACGTAGCCAGCGAATATAGAGCTTGTCGCGAGCGCATCGGCATTGCCGATTACAGTTCCTTCACCAAATATGATCTGTGGTCCAAGGGCAACGAAGTCGTTGAACTGCTGCAGTATTTGTGCTCCAATGATGTGGATGTGGCCGTCGGTTCCATCATACACACCGGCATGCAGAATCCCAATGGCGGATATGAGAACGATTGTTCGCTGGCGCGTCTCTCGGAGCGACAGTAAGTCGATGGACAGACCAAATCCTTCAGATCCTTCTGCTGTACCTAAATGCGTCTCAATTTATTCCCTCAGCTATATGATGATTGCGCCTACTATTCAGCAAACGCGCTCCATGTGCTGGATACGGAAGCACATGCCCGCCCATTTGCGGCCCAAGGTGAATGTCGCCGATGTTACCTCGATGTATACGGCCATTTGTATTTTGGGTCCGTACACCCGCGTCCTACTCTCTGAGCTGACCGACACGGACCTCTCCCCACGAAGCTTCCCATTCTTCACCTATAAGGTTAGTGGATGTGACGATTCTCTGTTGCTGTTGGGTTAACCAATCTTTTGCAACTCTTTAGGAACTGGATGTGGGCTTGGCTGATGGCATTCGCGTCCTGAACATCACACATACCGGCGAGCTGGGATATGTCCTCTACATTCCCAACGAATACGCTCTCCATGTCTACGAGCGCTTGTACCAGGCGGGCCAAAAGTACAATATTCAACATGCTGGTACGTATTATCAAACACAAATGGATCTAACAGACTTCAAAAAAGATATATAAACATTATCAACAATTCACCCAAAATCCACAATTCATTACAAAAGCAAGGTATACTTTATAAATAATACAATTTTTTTAATTCTAAAGGTTTTGGAACTCAAAATGAAATCAAAACTTGTTCATTCGGAGTGCATTTTCAGGACAATTTGTGATAAAGTGTTTAGATACGAATAGAATAGATCAAATAGTGTTTCTATATATTCGAAACTGAACAAATTGAAATTGTATTTACTCGACTCAAATTAGATTCGATTAAATTCCATTCCATTCACAAAAAAATGAATCAGTGGAAATAAAACTGATTTATTTTGGATGATAACCTAGATTTAAAAAGTCAACCACCACTGGAAACAACTTTAGTCTGCCGATAAATGTTTTTAGGAGTTCTTAAATTATATATAGTCTTTTTTTTTTGTATTTGGTAGGCTCTAGAAAATAAAGAACGCACAAGTAAGAGACTTCTAGAACCAGAATTTATATAGAAGAAAATATATGTATATGTTCTTGTAATATCGAAAAATATTGCAAAATTGGATTTTATGGAAGTCCTTGCTTCTGCTTTGTACTCACACCGATTCTCTATCCTTTCGACAGGATACTATGCAACGCGCGCCTTGCGCATTGAAAAGTTCTATGCTTTTTGGGGTCAGGACCTGGATACCTTCACCACGCCATTGGAGTGTGGACGCAGCTGGCGCGTTAAATTCAATGTAAGCTCTTTAATAACGTATCGTTGGATGAGCCTCTAACCTCTCCGTTCTGTTGCTTAGAAACCCATCGAGTTCATTGGACGGAGTGCGTTGCTGAAGCAGCGAGAGGAGGGCGTGAAGCGAATGTACGTGCAGCTGCTGCTCAACGATCACGACCACGAGGTGGACATGTGGTGCTGGGGCGATGAGCCGATCTATCGCGATGGCGTGTATGTGGGCATGACGACGACCACGGGCTATGGCTACACGTTCGAGAAGCAGGTGTGTCTGGGCTTTGTGCGCAACATCGATGCAAATGGCCAGGAGTTGCCCGTGACCAGCGAATATGTCCTATCCGGTCACTATGAGGTCGAGGTTGCTGGGGTGCGGTTTGAGGCGAAGGTGAATCTGCATTCACCGAATCTGCCCACCAAATTTCCGGATCGCGAACGCGAGGCTTATCATGCGACACGTGACAGGCCCGACCAGGCGGATCTGCTGTCCTTCAGCTCTAATTTGACGACGACTGGTCAGTAGGCGACTTGCAGTGAACTTCTTGCGTCCGAATATGTTGACGCTGTTTTGCAGTTTCGTTAAAGTTTTTCGATTCTAAGCCCATTGTGTTATTGTGAGTCTCATGCAGAGAAGCGATATATGCATATGTGTATAATCCTATATATATATACAATATATGTATATATGCATATCTGGTACTATATAGTCCATGGAGCGAGAGAGATAGAAAGTGAAGAAAGACGGAGAAAGTTCTTATTTGCTCAATCGCTTCCGCTCAGTACAGTTGTGTCCATAAAACTAATTATAATTCATAATGATAATTGAAGCCCAAAGTGTATTAAAAAAAGTGCAGTCAATTATTGACAGAATGTTGACATTTGTAAAACTAATAATTTATTGAAACTTTTTAGTCAATTTTTACCAAATTGGAAAAGAATAGGAAACAAATCAAACATAGAAATTAACAAACAAACGCTGTTTTATTGGCAGCTGAAAAAGATCAAATTTTGTTTAATTTGAAAGTTTTTCACTGCCTCCAATGAAATGCTGTGAACAACCGATGCGACCGATAAACATAAACACCGACACACAAACACACTAATATACGCACATAAGCCAAATGCTTGCCCATGAAGTGCCTTGAAAGAGCAGCTTTTTACTTAGAGTTTTCGTGTAAAAGCCCAGTGTCCGTTTATTTGAGAATAGTTGGCCTTTTGTTTAGGCGAGTTTTTTAGTCTCAAAACTCACACTCGCCTGTAGAGACGTTATGAGAGTGCCAGTTCCATTTCAAATTGCTTCAACAAATGTATTTTGTTTTTAATGACGCCTCTTTAATTTAACTTTAGAAATGTGTTGAATATATTTTTCATTATTTCTCTGATTCAAAGAATGCAAAATGCTAATTTTATATTAGAAGGCATAGTATGAGTTCATTGGCACTTCTAGAGCGGGCTGCATAATACAAACACATCTAAAAATAAGCCATAATATTTATACGCATTTTCTATGTTGTGTACTATTTATATACTTATATTGAATTTGAAATAAAAATTGTTATACTTTGATATTTATATACATGATGGAATTTATAAAAGAACATATGTACATCAGTCATGTCTTCTAACTGCGGCACTGCAAACAATTGTCTTCAGTCCAGATGATAAGTGTGGCTAATTCTTGGGCTTACAAGTTTTGCCAAACTTGCCGCAAACACAAGCAATCCTCATTGTAAAAACAACAGTGGGAGAAAAAGTTTACTTGTGTTTTGTCGAAACAATGATACCCTAAGGCTGTACTGGAGAGATGATGTAAAACAGAAAACTATGATACTCTACAGCAGTTGTTTTCATGGGCTAAAGGAAGAGCTTAATTCCTGCTACCAATAATGGAAAAATACAAATGTTTTTTTTTTTTGCTAATAGAAAATAGGAAAATAGGAAAATGTAGCCCAAATTATTAAACAAATATGTAAAATGTTCTACATTTCTAAATGTAACAATTTATTGCGTAAAAAGGCTGTCTCAGTTTCCTCAAAAAAGGAAAGAGATTCGCTGTAGAATTTAATTTATAAAATAATGCATTTTTCCAGCTACAGCGCATTCATGTTGTAGATGGTGGTAACTAAAATCTTATGATATGTATTTAACTACTGTCAAGTTAAATAGATGTCTATGGTCATATTAAATGAGATTAAGCATTTAGTTGTAATGCAAAAGCTAATATAGATTTGCAGATGCATTTTACAGGATTTTAGCTGGAAAGCTCTGGGAATCAAGTTTTAATAGCATGTCGTCTTCTCGAGCTGAATTTAAGTATTTAAGATCACATATTGATTCGAAATTTGAAATAATAATAGAGCTTTTTGTAAATTTTATAAAAGAAAATATATGCATATACTATTTAATACGAAAAAGGATATTTTTTACAATACAAGTACGTACGAATTGAATTCTAATTAACTGACTCAAACAGTTTAGCTGCTGTGGAGTCTCCTCTTGACCAACTCTTGTGGCTAGCTTTGAGGACCGATTTGGTAAGCGTTTGTTAGCATAAACGAGTAGCAGCTGCTGCTGCGGTTAATATGCTAAAACGGTTTTCTATAATTTTTTTTGTTTTTGTGTGTTGTTATTGGGTTTTGTTTTGCTTTTTATGGGTGTGGCGCAGTCAAGTGGGAGGCGGCTTGTTTGCACAGGAAATTCGGGCGTGTGCTAATTCCCAAAACTCTGGGCAAAGATTTCTGCACATGTTTTGGCCAACTTTGCTTGCTCAGACCAAAGAAAACGAAGAACTTTGCCGAGCAGCGGCAGCAACAACAACAGCAGCAGCGAGCAGCAGCACCAACAACAACAACAACAACAACGGCAATAAGAACAAAAACAAAACAACTGGCTACTGGTCGTCTTGGTATGGTCCTAGGGGCACTTTTGGCCACGCTTGGCTGGCTTTTGAAATCTGTGTAGGATTACAAACTATCTTTTTGTTAGTAATTAGCTGCACACGATAAACGTGACATTATTATTGTTGCCAGTTGTTGCAGTTGCTAAGTTTTTGGCCAGTTTTGCTTGCCTGCTTGATTTGTGGCTCGTCTCCTACTCGTCGACGTCGAAGTCGTTGTTGTTTTTGTTGTTGTTTTTGCTGTTGTTGTTGTTGTTACAACACATTTGAATTTTGTTCAGTTGGTCTTTGCGGGTCCCCCATCTACTGCTATCTACAGCTTCAGTTTTCTGTTTGCCGTCTTACAAATGAGCATTTGTTAAATCAAAAATTCAAGTGGCAACGCCGCACTCGTCGGCGCCACAGCACCACAGCAGCATAGCACCACTGGCACCACCACAGAGCACCATAAAGCCTGGAGTCCCACATTGATGGCCTCGACGATGACGACAACAACGACGAAGACGACGATGGCGGCGACAGTGGCGGCTGAGGCAGCTAAGGCGGCTACGGCGGCAGCGGTGGTGGTGGTTCAAAAATGATCAATTTTCAACTGAGGCGGCCATTGCGACGGCCTGCATCATGTTTTGTAATTTATGCCATTTATTGTGTGGTTTTCTACCGTATTTCGTCTTGTGGTTGACTCGGCTGCAATCAAAAATTTGCATATGTCGTTTGTTGTTTCCGTCCTCCCATCCTCCCGTCCTCCCGTCGTCCTCTTGGGCTTGCCTCAATTTGTGGCCAGCTGCCGGTTTTCGGCATACGCTTACAACTACTACTTGTACTCGTACATCGGGCCAAACTGAATTTCCCCCAACCAGACACACACTACTTTCCAAATGCGACTCCAAAGTTTGATGAAACCCCCAGTCTTTGTTCCATAGACTAATCGTATTACTTTGCTTCCAATAAAATCCAATAAAATTCTGAGCAGTCGAGCCATAATTTTCAGATAGTTTAAGCCGATGTCTTTGCTTTTAAGGATTTCTAAGATGCAACAAAACAGATGTTAGGCATAAAAAAATAAAAATTAAATCATTCTGCAGTCTTGTTTCCATTTCCATTAAATTTATTTTAACTCCGTTGTACTGATTTCAGAAGCAGCTTATCAAATGCAATTTAGTGCAGTTTTATCAGAAAACTGTTACGTTTTTCTGTAACTTTAACTAAAGAACGAAAACAATTTCAGTAAATAAAATAAAGAAAGTTGATTCAGCTTGAAAACAATTGAATGCTTTATGATAACTTGGAAAGGACCCTCTCCGAAAATTGTCTTGCATATTGTCGAGGTTCTTTAGATTTTGCAAAGCCATTATTAAATTATTCCTTATTTCTTGACTTAGCCTTAATATAAATAAAAATCTTAGTAATATACTTATGTACATACTGATTATTGATAAGAATTGATTGAGCTTAGTAAATCGATTTATATTTTGATTTCGTTAGAGCTTCTTCTGCTTTTCGAATGCTTTCGATTCCAATTTGCAACATGTCTTTTAATTCTTAGAATATTTAAATTACCTATAGCATAATAATCAAGACCATTTAAAAAATAATAGTACTCGGTGGCTTTTTAAAAAACATTGTTTTTAAAATAGTGCTTGCTTATCTATTTTTTTAAATTTAATTTTTTAAAATTAATTTTATTAATCTTTTTACAACCGTTTTTAATAGACATTTGAATATTATTGGCATGTTTTCAAACAGACTTGGCAATTTTGAAATGTTGGCCCCCATAAGATTGGGGTGAAAATCGATTATCGATACGAATCGAAATTAAGAAGGCCTTGATTTAGCTGCCAAAATGGCGTTCCAAACAATCAGTAAAGCTCCGAGGTCGTAATAACTTTATTTCACTTTTGTTGCTTATGATGAGCGGTCAGCTTCTCCTAAAGTTTTTTTTTCTTTCTATATTTTAATTTATTTAAAATACTTCTGCAATAGATTTTTACTAACCCAAGGCGGACATTAACCTTTGATTTTCTTTCAATGATTGATGACTTTATTTTATTTTGCTTAATTTTAATTTATTAAGAACCACGAAAAGATTGAGGTATTAAGTTTTCATTATCAATGTATATTACTTTTATCCTTTCGTTCAATATATTGTATATAATTGCTACGATGTTGGATTATTGTACATTGATTGATTCACGGGGCATTCCCATTTTGATTTACTTGTATTTTAACTATCGTAAAATCATACGATGGCACTTAAGTCATCGCTAAGGCTCCTGGAATACATAACAGAAGCAGATCCTTTATCCTTTACTTATGATTTCTGCAGAACATGAAGATTTGATTAAGCAGGAAGAAGAAAACGTGGAGCACCTTCTCTGTTACTGTCCAGCGCGTAGCAGCCTCAGGCTCACTGATCTAGGGAAACCCTTATTAAATCATCTCAAAGAAATGCTAAAACTGGAGATCGTGGAATAAGCAAAGCACCTATAAAAACTAAAATATTGCATCACAATGAACCTCTTCATCTAGTACAGATCAATATAAATATTACTAGACACATACTCGTACTGGAGGAACATTTAGGTCGCTAAAAACCGACTTTGGAGCTCTGAGCAATTGTGTCTCTACTTAACATTTGAAAATATTCGCATTATGAAAAATATTTGAATGCATTATATTTATATTAAATTTAAATCAAACTTAAAATCATTTGCTTCTTCTATGCTTTTTAGTCAAATTGAATGCGAGACTTACTTAACCGATTACGTTTTTAACTAAGTTGTCGGTGTTTATCTTTTATTTCAACACATTGTGTTGGAACAATGAATGGCATATGAAAGTATTCCTATGGAAAATGCGGTTTTTATAGATGTTGATAACCAAATGATGTGCAGTTGAGGAATTTTATCTCATAAATTATCTCCAAGTGTTTGACTTTTGACAAAGCAGATAGCCAGAGAGTTCGCAGCTGAGTTAGTAGAAAGGAATGCTCATACTACAGATACACCCATTTATCCGGACTGTGAGTCAGAGTAACTGAATGCGACTTATTTGTCGGCATATTCTGTATATACTCACCAAAAAATAGTAGAATAAACAATTAGACAGACTGAGCTTGAATTTGTTTCGTTGCGTAATTGGATCGTGTGTAAATCATTCTTAAGTTTTTAATCAAGGTCCCAATGGCACTTAGGTTGATTTGTGTTCTAATAATAATAATATGAATAGAAAATGTTGTACATTATCAGAATCATTGTTGGGAAAAATGATAATAAGTGTTTCGCACTGTCTATTAATATTTGCATATGGACCAAAGGGGCAGTTAAAGTTTGTATTTAAAAAGGGTATTGTACGCGATTTTAAAACTTGAGCTGAAAGTTTTCATGTTAGTTGAAACATTCTCTTAATATAAATTAAAAAAAACATGCTAGGAGAGTTTTCGAAACTCGATGAGCAATCAATGCCACCTACGACCTTATAGTGCCCCGGTGAGGGGCAAGAAGGTGCAACATTGTGTAGCAATTTTTGCTTCTAGCACCAACGTTTCAAATGCAATGGGAACCTTCAGCCAATTGGCAAATATTTACTTAGCAGAGGCATTCGCTGGTCAGCAGCCCTTGCTGAGCTTCATGATTGTATCGAATGTTTACCCAAAATTAACAAAAAACAAAAAAAAACAT